TTTTAGTGCAATGAATTATGGAGAGTAACTTGACAGGAAAATCTAGATGCTAGCACATGGGTCATGATATTTATACAAATAGAATCAAAGTGACATGAACAAGATATTTCAAGCTAGGCACCATAGCATAGAGCATGTTTTTTTTGGAAAATCTAAAATAATTATCCACGCTAAAACAATTTTGGTATGAATTTTCTATGATTAAATCATGTTTTAGGATTTTAATTTTTATTATTTTTTCATGTAAAAATATATTTGGATAAATTTTTAATTTTGGATTTTTTTCTAAAATATTTCTAGTCCGGTTTACCTCCTCGAACTTTCAACTTAGTTCGATTTATCTCATCTGACGTGGCGCCACATCAACAAACCACCCTCAAAACCACTAGGTGCAAAAGTGAATGGTTGTCAAAAGTTGAGAGGGTTAAAAATACTGGTTTTATAGATCAAGAGGAAAACCAGACGAACACGAGGTAAATTGGACTTCTTCCTTTTAGAAAGCACATGTCAGGCCCACACATGATGGATGCACTAGGTTGGGCTGTGTTGGGTTGGGTTAGTGCATGACTTGCCTAGGCTATAATCGGGCCCACGAGGGGTGTGGAAAAACACAAAATCAGTTGAACATGCCAAATGTTGCTAAAAAAAAGTTGAACATGCCAAATTGCCCAAGGCGGATGTGCTATGTACTTTCGAGGAGGACGTTGGAGATCGGGGAAGAAGTCTTTTTTCTTCTTATTATATCCCAAGCATGTCCCTGCGTTGCGACGAAAAGAAGCTGTCAAATTTAATAAAAACAAGGATAAGTATATTATATATCTGTGCTTTACCTTTTTCATATAACTTAAAAGCTATGATTTTTTAATGCATTGTCATTATTATGACAATGTCATATTAAGTATGTACTCCTTCCGCCCCAAAATAAGTGTCACTTTGGATTTCGTATTGGTCAAACTTTCTCAAGTTTAACTAGATTTATATAAAGTAATTAGCAATAATTTTTCTCCAAATAAGTTTATTATGCAAATATATTCAACAATTAATCTAATGATACTTATTGTGGACCATAAATATTGTTGATTTCTTGTATATATTTGGTTAAAATTAAAAATGTTTGACTTTTTGGAAAGTAAGAATGACACCTACTTGGGACAGAGGGAGTATTGTGTAATCCCCTAGCTGTTAAGCAAGGTCATCACATGTGCATGAGCATAAACATCATATTATCTTGATCTCATTTGTCATTATGCAAGTTGTTTGATTGAGCTTTTGAAATTTTCTAGGCTAAGTAAATTCATCTAAGTAGAATGATGGCGTTTTGTTTGTTAATTTCTGTGAACAAATTGAAATAAGTTGTGGTCACCTAACCAACTAATCAAATCTTGTTGCGAAACCATATGATTAAATGTCAGTAATAAGCTAATAACACTAAACACTTTATAGTTTTTTTTCAAACTTGGGAAGATAGGCTTCTAGGGTTTACATCAACCAAATAGATACTGAAATTTTGTAAGTCAATTTAATCATGAATTTCTTAAACACTTTGAAATTTGACCAAATAACAACTCAAGTAGAGGACATGGATATTGACATAATACAATTTTCTGATTAAAATAGTTTAATGTTTTGGTCAAAATCACATCAAAAAAATTAAGTCTTCAAATGACTTAGTCTTTTTCTTAAGTATTAAATTCTGCTGTCATTGTCATTTTGGCAAGCTTGATTCTCAAAGTTTACTCAGTTAACTATATTGACTTAAGCCACCATGAGATAGTCCAAACTAAGTACAAGAGCCCTAGGGTGATCTAGATCTGGATGATCATCGTTTGGATGATCACAACCTTCACAAAAAGTCCTTAAACCCATTTATCTCGGCCCTGTTCTGGCTGTTTAACAGCAGACTGACAGACCCTACTTGGCCCGTCCATATCCACGTAACAACTTTGGTTAAAGGATCTCGGATCGATCCCACGAAGTTTTAGCCACACGAGCACGCGGGATTTGGAAAATCCTCGCTTAACGGCGATCACCGCGTGTGGCCTCACCCGCGCACACGCCAACGCCACGCATCGCACCTCCTCAACCCAAATGCCGCACAACCACACATTGATGTGCTGACGCACGCACTGCTGCCCCACCTTGCTCTGTCGCGTCCATACGTCGGCGCCCATGTGGTCGGTGTCATCCTCGCCACGCGGACCATCGACTAAACTATGTTCTAATAAGATAAGTTTTGTTCTTAATAAAAAACGTATCAACGATTTGGTGGTGAAAATCTTTATTTTGTAGAAAAGGGTCAAGTCCAAAGGTCTTTAATTATTGCTTCCATGATTTCTTTTTTTAGTATATATGGGAATCCAAGGAAAGAATCAAGAACTCCATCCGCGGATGCAACTAAAGGATATGAAAAAGGAAAAAAATTGTCCCATATGGACTAGCGGTGGCCGGGGCTGCTAGTGGGGGGCAGCTGGCGAGTGGGCGGGTGGCCCGGATCAGCATCTGGTGCACGGGATCGGGCCCGGGACGGGTTGCTGGTTCTGGCGAGCGGATCGGTGACAACAGGGCACCTTGCGAGGAACTCAGCGGCAGGTGGAAGGCCTAGCGAGGTGCTCGGCGGCGGGTGGGTAGGTGGCTCCGGTTGCGGTTGTAGTTGTAGTGACACGAGGAACAACCATTGAATCAACTTAAAAAATAAAGGTTTCGTTCGTCCCAACACCAGGAGAAGAATCTATACCTAATAATAAAGAGGTAAAATTTTCTCTTTTTTTTACCATTATTTTGGTGTGGGCTATCCTAACTAACTCGGTGAATGTCGAAACCGTCTCATATCCGATGCTGTGTTCGTTATGGAAATTAACCGATGGCCAAACGACGCTGGATAAGCTAAACGATGCCAACGACGCCGTATCGTGCCCAAACACGTGACTTGAATACTACCCCGACGCTCATACGGAAAGCAAGCCGGCTGGTGCTTTTCTTTTTTTCCTTTTCCTTTTTTCTATTACATATATTATATATATGGATATACACATGCCGGTAGAGAACGTGACTTGCTTCTATCTACAAAACACTACACTGAAGCTCTCTTAAATTAAAAGCACCGGCCCCTCTCTGGCATAGCTTGGATTTCGTCTTGGGGTTGGAGAGCGCGACGCTGACGAAGTCATCAAGCACGCGCGGGAGCTCCAGCGTTGGGCTGAGGCGCGGTGCTTTGGCCGTGTGCGCGCTTCTTTCCGGCCAGCCTGGTGGTGCAGACCTCCGTGACTTTTAGCGCCTGATCTTCTGGGTTTCCGCATTGTCCTTGTAGAGCTTGCGCGTGTCAGTGCGTGGATGAGGCGGTAGAGAAGCTCGAGGAAGTCCTTGACGTAGCCGAATTCGTCGAGCGCAAGAAGGTTACATGCAAGCGTCTTGGGATGGCGCTCGTACATGCATCCAGAGCGCGGCGGCATAGAAGTCCTCCCTATCGGACATGCCCGTGTCGCGCACGTCGAAGAGGTTCGCGATAAGCTTGAGTGTGGTGAGCAGCTGGGGCGGATCCAAAGAGGGCTACCGGGGCTACAACCCCCTAATAAGCCTGATTTCTTCATTAGACTATGGTTACCTAGCCTCAAATCATCATTAATCTTTAGCTCTAGCCCTAAATCTTTATTATTTAGCCCCCCTTTATTCCCATCCTGCATCCGCCACTGGTGAGCGGGCTGGTCGTGTGCCCATGCAATGGTGACGAGCTTGCGCACACGCTACGCCGACGTGTCGGGGATGACCTGGACGAAGAGCTGGAGGCAGGGGGTTGTCGGAACTCGTGTAGATGGCCGAGTTGTTTTCCATCCGCGCCATGCGAGGCGTCGTTGGCAGCATCAGAACCGGTTGGAGAGTCCTCGTTGGTTGAAGCAGGTGTCGAGAAGGTCGAGGAACAGGTGGAAAGTGGGGGATTGAACCAATAAATTGTTGAGATACAAGAGATTCTCAAAATTAAAGCATCCTAACAATTATTATTAAAAGGAATCAACATGAGCTGCAGCAGATGCCTTTCTTTGTTCTAAGGTGGATTGTGAAGAGTTAAAAAAATAGTAGACACGAGTGTTGACACGGTCAGTATGCCAAGTTAACCTAATTTAGGATTAGTTCATCCATTGCAAACCCCCACGAGACAAAGGACATGTGAAGAAAAAGGTAACCAAAGAAACTATCTAGACGTCATTCACTTGCATATTGTTCTCTGTCTAGAATAAAATCTTCTCAGAAAAAGAAAAGGCCTGCAAGAGGAGGGGGATTGGTTATGCTCGTTCGCGGCTCTATCATGCAACCACGCCCATACCACCAGCAACATAATAGATTGTAGTTCTGTTGCAACGCACGGGTATATTTACTAGTAATTTATACAAGGTGGTAACCTAATAGATGGACGTAAGAATTATTATGCTAATTTTCACTCGAATACCAAATTACGGGACAAATTTTATGTTTCTTTACCGAGTTTCTAAGCGGATTTTATCAAACTATACAAGAAAAAATTGATGTCGCATACCTTATAGCTAAATTCTGGATCTACCACTCCTAACAAGAGTGAAAATAGAGGCGTTTATGATGACTTTATCAATCTCGATATTGGTTGATTCAACGTAAATGTTCATAAAATGGTCAAATGTCGACGTTTCCTATGTACCGGGTTGGAAGAGAAAAAAAAGCGTCGTCTTAGAACAGGCCTGGACGAGCATTGCAAACATGGGCCTGGCAGCCTACATGGCGCCTCCGACTCCGAGCGGAAGTCACGCGGTGGGTTGGACTGGGCCTCCACAAGGCCTTCCTTAGACTCGGATACGGACACGATCCAGACCGTCCAATCCAACACCCAATCGCACTTGGCAACGATCAGGGCGCCTCGCCTCCGCCTACATAACTCGTGACCCGCCGGCCGCCGCTGCATCCTGCACCCAAACCGGAAGAATCCATCCCCAAAATCTTTCGGCGAGATCCGGCGAAGAGGATTCGAGGATACGATGGAGCGGTGCGGCATCAAGGACGTGGAGGCGTCCGGTGAAGAGGACAGTTCGATGGCGCGGTGCCCCACCAAGAGCCTGAAGGCGGCGGCGGCGAAGCAGGCGGAGGGCAAGGAATTCCAGAAGGAGGCTGGTGCTGCTGGTGATGATGACACTGATAGTGAAGACGAGGGGGATGGGATGACGTCCTTGGAGTACATCAAGACCTACAAGATGCTGCCGCCGTTCGAGACTTCGAGGTGCAATGTATCCTGGAGAAGCCTCTAGAGCGCACGCCTTTCACCGATTCCTATGTGTTCAAGGCCCTGAGCGCCGACCCCAACGCGACGCTGGAGGACATCAAGTTGGCGTTCGAAGAGCATGAGGAGGAGCAGGACATGAGGATGAGGTTCTGTGAGCGGGTGCGCACCGAGTACGAAGCCAATGGCTACGTCACTGTCAGCGATGAGTACATCGCCAGGAGGGTTCGCAACAACGAGCTCTCCAGCAAGCTGTGGGAGGAGGCGTTTGCTGATTTTGATGATGAAGTCGCTGGTTTTGACAATGAAGTCGACGTGGAGGAGGTTGCCCACTGATGGAACTGAGATGAGGATGAATCTGCCCTGTTCCAAACCTATGCCACACTATGTGCCTGTTATCTATATATATATATATATATATATATATATATATATATATATATATATATATATATATATATGTTTCCAAAATTAAGTTAAAGGCTACGAGTTTATCATATGACGTGGTTGGAAGTCCTCGACCAACGAGTATTTCACGGAAAGCTGACAAGGAATTCCATTAATAACCGACCGTTTTGATTCTTTAGAACATAGATGAATTTAGTGCATCCTTTTAGAAGGTCCCCAATGACTATAGATCGAACTTATCCTATTTTTACAGTGCGATGGCTGGCTGTTCACGGATTAGCTGTACCTACGGTTTTTTTTTCTTGGGATCAATATCAGCAATGCACTTCATCCAACGATAAACCAAATTCCAAGTATAGAACTATGACACAATCAAACCTGAACGAACAAAATGTTGAATTGAATCGAAATCTGATGACGTCGTAGTTGTTGTCCCATCTTCGACAGAGCCGACGTGGAGAAAATGAACCTACCCTACCCCTCATCGTCGTCGGGAAGGAGGAGGAGATAAATCCCTAACCCCAACCCTAAAGGACTTAATCTACTAGAAAACTTTTTAAAATGATGGATCCCCACTCCCTCTAGCCTCCGCGGGATACCGGAGGGGGACGGAGATGGGGCGGCAGTGGCGGCTGTCACTAGGTAACAGAAGGAATGCAGTTTGTTTGGCTTTAAGTTTTATGAGAGAACTGAACTTCCATGGTAGTTAAAGGAGGTAAAAAAGCTCTTTTTTGAAAGTGTAGGATCGAACGAAGGCACTGGCAGAGCCATGGAAACAAGGTCTTAAGTACTATACTTGTGCCGTATTTGATGGAATGCTTAGTAAGTGATCTTTAATTACAGAAATGCTATACTCCACCCATATGTTTTTTGGTTTGTTGGCACACGAATTTTCTGTCCGCTGGATGAAGAATCGACGTCTGGTCGCGCCCATTTGTCTTGGGATGCTGATTTGCCGGGCCCATTCTGAGCGTTACTGTTTCAAATCGGAATCGGGCCTGTCCGTTTCTGGCTGTCTCATTTCCCCATTGTCTTCTCCCTCCGACGCTCTCCTGCCTAGAGAGGCGATTCGAGAGGCGACCTCGCCGCTCCGCCGCACCGCATCTCTGCGCGTCGCCTCCTCCTCACCGATTCGGTTGCTACGACAAGCCCGCTGCCACCATCGTCCGCATGTGGGACAAATCTGTGGTGCTCCACGCGGACCTCAACGCCACGTAGGTCGGGCTCGCTGCTGGACGCGCCGACCTCGCGGGCCTCCACGCCCGCATCCTCACCACCACGAGCTCCTCCAGACGTTCCTCCGTGGCATGCAGGACAACGGCTCAGGTGCGTGATTCGTCCCTATTCTTCCTATTTGTTTCGTGTTCCTCATTCGTTGCATGATTTATCCGATCCCCTTTCCTGATGTGGTGTGGATTTGCTCAATTTGCTCGATCCCCTTTCCTAATATGGTGTGTGATTCTTCCCATGGTGCGAGGAGCTTGTTTTGTTGTGCTGTTGGGATGAGATCTATGAGCAAGGAGAGGAGTTCGCCCTCTGCTGCAGAGTCAATTTCGGATTGAGCAGATCTGGAGCCTAGGTTGTGGCAGTGCACGCATTGATTGGGCAAACTGAACCTTTGTGTTTTCCTCTCATCTAATACTACTTGAAATGGTCAAGACGATGGCATTTTCTTTTTCATTCAACCTCGTCTGACAACTGAATTCAACCTGAAAAACTATTGATACATTTGTAATTGCTTGACACTCCGTGTTAAGTAGCTATCAGATTGACTAAGTATTCATATATGCTGATTTGTGGCTTTTTGTTTGGACAGACTACTTCAAGGCGTCTTGCTGACACGAAGACTGCAAAGTTCCAGAAGAACATCACTAGGAGGGGTTCCGTGCCTTGAAACCACTGTTAAGAAGGGAAAATGACAAACCTGTTGGCCCTATAGTGCTTGGGTTCTTCATCTTTGTCGTCATTGGATCATGTATGCCTTCCAACCCTCTCAAATTCTTTTCATATTGTATTGTATCATGCTGGTGACATGCTACTTTAGAATACACACCGTCGTGCCTTTTTTCTTTAAGAATATGTTGTTCCCTCGAATGTATCATCTGTTTTTGTGCAAGCGCAACGAGAATAATCAGTAGTTTTCTGGAATATGCACTTGCTGAATCGCCATCCTATAGTTCTGTCTCTAGCAGTAGTACATCTATCTTTCTCTATTCTTAAGTATGCATGGCCTTCAAATCCCCTTCAATCAATAGCACAAAGTACGCAATCATCCATGAACAAGTTCACAAAAGTAACTCCATTGCATTTTTCTGTACAGATGTACAAATTTGCTTGTTTCAGCTGCTATACACATTACACACTTGCTGCTTCACCATAGGACTACGTCTCACCTCTTCTTGTTGGTCATTGGCTCGGCACCAGCTGTCCCTTTCCTCATCATCGCCACAAACTCTAAATAATCAATCCTTCCTTCCTACATGTGCAAAAAGTAAATTTAAGACTCTTGATTTAACAAGAAACTAAAACACATACGCTCAGTACCAGGAACAATTAATCATGACAAGTTAATCATTTGATGTAGTGGATTCTATTTCTGTAACACCGCCGCGTCACAAGTTGATACGATGTTGTGGTTTCTATAGTTTATTATGTCAACTAAAATTTACATAATGTTTGTTCCTTACATTGTCACAATTGGCATCTGAAGTGACCTCTTTGATTTTATCGGAGTCATACAACCCTTGCTGATGTTGTTAGATACAGGTGAAGCAATATTTTCTGGCATTTGATGTGTAGTTTTACCAAATAAATATTTCGCTCTGACCTGATTTATGTAAAATTAAAGCATTGTTTCTTTTTCTAATTGATTTTGTCATGTCCTTCTCAGTGTATTGTATTTCACGTTGTTCTCGGTCAAAGATAGTAGCCTGAACCAAAACTTCTATCTAATAGCAGGCTGTAGGCTAAACTCTTAGACATACTCCTATATAATCCATTTCAAACAGTCCAACATTCTTTTTCTCGTGTCACTGTTATAATCTTTAGTAATCTGTTTTCTTCGTCCATCTTTTCTGCTACCATGGCTACTTCTTCCGTATCCATTGACTGCATGTGTATGGCAAATGAAGCAAGGGTCAGCTACATTTAGTTTCAATTATATTTTGAGCTTCCTTAAATTCAGATGCTGACATCTCTGATCTGATCTGCTACGTTCAGACTTAGAGAGAAGTCAATTGTTCAATGTTCAGCGCCACTTATTTTTCTTTGAACAAATTAAATATACACTAATTTGGTAATCTCAATTGATGTTCACAGGTCTGTATAGATATATAAATACAGTAATACACAGATGCTCTTTTAATTTGCAGCTCCACATCTCCAATCCAACCAACCATTGCAAAGCAAGATACTTTAACAATGGGCTGAGGCTGCTTTCTTAGCATATGCAATTTGTGTTGGCTATTGTAAAAACATTCAGATAATTAATTGCAAACATGAATAATGTAAATTACAGGTATACAACACCGCAATTGTAGTTCTGAGTATATGCAATTTGGTTGTATGAGGTTGTTATATTATTTGTTTTTCCATTTTAGCCTGAAAAACATTAGGTGATTCCCCGTAGGTTGATTTCAAGTGCTGTTGATAATTATTCTAGTGTTAACTTGTCTTTCTTGCTCTCAGGACTTGTGCAAATGGCAGCCTAGGTCAGGAATTATTAGAGCACACTGAGGATGCAATTGGAATGATCGACATTATTCTAATAAATCACTTAGCCAAGTAGTATGTAATTGTTTCATGTTATTCAGAAGGCATATTATAGAAATATATTTTTGTATATTGTTGACAGTGGTTGGAGCGTAGCCTATGTTGCTTTTTGCTTGCAGGGGTTGTCTATTAGTAAGTGAATCATTCTTCCAGAACAATCCTTTCAACTTTGTTCACATGAGTGGTGGTGTAGTTTCAGAGCTAGAGCCACACAGAATGTTTTTGCTTGAGTTTGCTTTTAATTTGCTCTCTGTTTTTAACTGAATCTTGTCACTCCATTGCTAGACGATGCTTGTCACTCCATTTATAGGCAGAGGTGTTTTAATTTGCTTGAGATGGGCGAGGGTTGGCAATTGTCATCACCGGAAGCAAGCTGATACCGTGGGGATGTGGTGTGCCCACTGCTGCGGTGTGTGTAGTAACTTATCAATTGCGCGTGTTCGTGCTGCCACTTTCAGTCCCCTTGTTGTCGAGGTTTGCTGCCTTGTTTGCGTTGATTCGAGTGTAATGCTAATTGTGGCGTCGTGATGTTTTTGCTTCTGCTACTACGAATGTAGGTTCAGTAGCTCTGCTTCATATAGCTCTCCTTGTTTATTAGGTATATACTTTTTTTGGGGGTCTCCTTGTTGCCTATAGCTCTGGATTGTTCCGTGTGTGGTTAACTTAGTCTGAGTTGTCAATAGGGGATTAGCTGGTGGTCGAGCCACCCATAAGGGAATGATTTAGTTGGACATGACATCTGTATATTTGGCTGTGTAGTGATTTCTATCGAAAGATCAGTTCATTTTAGGTATGTGCATTCTATCTTCGTTTGTCAGCCTTTTAGCTATTTTTGTCGACACCGTACTCTTGTTGTATATCTGTGAAACCGTACAAACTATTCTTATCAAAATATGGAAACGTAAAATTGGGATTGCACATTGTGCCCTTGTTTTTGATAACTAGCTTTCAGTTAATTGAAACACCGAATTGTCCTGTGGGTTGGCATGTTGTGAACCATCTTCCACAAGCCAGCTGCTAATTCAAGGGGCACTTCAAGTAGCTCCTATGTGTATGATGTAGGACGTGTTGTATGTGATTTGTTTTATGAAGTATACTGGCTACTTCACTTTTGTATTATTTATCAATCACTTGTCATCCTGTGTGTCAAGTTGTGT